TTGGGGGGTTTTGGGCGAAGACATAGTCTTAGCCCTCACTGGTACCGGCAAACTGGGGAAATCCGACTATACTAACTCTTTTCGCCCCATCAGTCTAACATCTTTCCTACTCAAGACTCTGGAAAGACTATGCGACAGACATATAAGGAGCGGTGCACTAATACATAAACATCAACATGCTTACACAACGGGCAAATCTACAGAATCGGCCCTCCATCAACTAGTCGGTAAGATAGAAATGCCTTTTCACAATAAACTCATCTGTCTGGGCACTTTTATTGACATTGAAGGCGCCTTCGATAGAACTAACTTCACCAGTATTGAGGCGGCTCTTAAAAGACATGGAGCCATGAAAGTTAAAATACATGAAATTTATGTTTCGATTTCAACTTATTATATGAATGATACTTTTTATAGATATTAATGATATAAATGTAAAATAAAATATAAAAAAACTGTCTACATCCCTATTTATAGTTCACACATCGGCTTTAAGATAGAGTCTTAGAATTTCCAGTTGTGATTATCAGTGAATAAACTTTTCTATTGTCTCCGATCTGGGTTGTAATTGTTCCTTTATTAATTTTAATTTTATGAAAATTTTAATTTTATGAAAATTAAAATTAATAAACGAAATTACAGAAGTTTTTGCCTATCCTCATTAATGCAGGGACCTGCACAGAAATTTAGGGTTTTATGGGTAGATGCAATGCTTATTTGCATGTATGGTGTGCACGCCACTGGATTAATGTACAATATGTAATAAGTATTTAATTATTTATTTACGTTACCTGAGATAACCACACTTCATCCGCCAACAATTCGTTTAGTATTACTGTGGTGTCTTTACTAGGGTTCTGCATTCTCTTCTCTGCCACTCGCTTACTGCACTCGGCGTACATTAAATACTTCTGATGTGATATCCTAGAGTATAGTTGCACGCGACCACAACAGGTGGCACATACTAAAAATTCCTGTAAAAAGATAGAAAATTGTTAATAGTTTTAAATTAACCAACAGTTTTAGTCTGATCAATCTAGATTGGTCTGAAGTGGTCATTGGACAGTTGATCTGTTAACGTGACAGATCATTCAGGTCTTAATTTGATAGATTAATCGGGGCTTCAGTTACACGGTAGAGCCGCTGATAGTCAAATTTTGTCATCATCAGCAATTTTAATATCCTCACTGCTTTGATTCAGGCTTCACTTAAGAGCAGCAGTCACGTTCAGCATAGAGTCAATTTATCTTCTCATAGAAGAATCTTTCATCCGGCACGAGATCCAGAATTGATTTATCGCCTCTGAAAGCTCCTGCATACTTAATGTCATGATAATTGTTGGAGCCGTTTCCGAGATTATAATACAGTAATTGCTCTTTTAAAGGTTTTAGATAAAAAATATAATTGCGTTAAACAATGTTAAATTCATAAAACGTGCGTGCGTGTGTGTATGTGTCATTGTTTACACAAAGTATTCAAAAGTAACATACCTAATTGGATAACAGAAATATGTTTACAAAAAATATATATATCAAGTATATATGGTTGTTTGCTACATGTTTTTTGATTTAATAACATAAAACATTACTTGGTGTTTAATACATGCACTATAAAACTCACAATAAATAGTAATTAAATTTCATCCTGCTTTGAATGTAATGTTTTATAGTGACATCGATTTCTGCAAACCTCACAATTTTTTCTAATCATATTAGAATTTTTTAAAACCCTTTTTTGATACTTAATCCATATTGTGATTTTTTGATACGTATACAAAAAAATTCTAGATATAAATGAATTTAAATTTGGCGAAGCCACCGACAGAAAGCTGTTGACAAATGAATCTACGCTCAAAATACCTTCTCGTACGCGAGCCTCGCGTCCGGCTGCACCGGCCCCAGCGTCTCGTGGTTGTACGGCTGCCCGTAGAGCAGCAGGCGCGCGACGGCGGGTCGTGCGCACGCGCGGCACACGCCCGCGCCCGCGGCCACGCTCAGCCCCGGCCACGTGCCCACGGCCGCGTCCAGCGCGCGCGCCCCCCCACCGCCCGCGCCCGCGCCCGCCCCCGCCCCACCACCCGCCGCCGCAGCGGCGCTCGACACGCGCGCGCGCATCGTCTCCGTCACCTCGTCCACGGTTTTCACGTTCGACAAAAAGTACTCGTCTGAAAGCGTCAGTGTTTTAATAATTATTCCTTTGTATCACAATTAGCTACTCGACTGTTTCGGGAAAGTTATTTTAAAACTTTAATTATATTGAACTAATATCAGATTTTTTATTTTAAAAACATGTTTTTTTGTATGGAAATCGGTATCAATCCTTACAGTCGGCGGGCGACTATTCGTTAGTTTTGGACGAGGCCTAAAACCATCATTTTCTATGTATTATATTATCTACGTTAATAATCCCGATGCCAAATGCGAAATATTACAGAGAAAAGATCATGCTTTGTCGACAACAATGGAAAATTAAGGTACTGTCGCCCTGTAAATGGCACACATTATCATGTGCCAGAAGCTCTCCACAAATACAAATCTCTGACCGCTTGATGTAAAAATACAATCTAGCATCTTGTATTTTTATTTATTTTAATATGTCGATTTATAAATTATTTAAATATTACCTTGCTCTTGAAATATTTCTGTGAGAAAATTGGGATCCAATGCGTGTGATATCAAAGTTTGTATATAAACTTCAAAATTTTCTTGGTACATTTGAGTTTCTAGCATCCTTTTTTCTATAAAGCTACAATCATCGAACGGCATTTCACTTCTAACTAATTCTACTGTCGTTTCTAAATGTGACTGGGAACGAACTTTAACAGGGACTTGAGTATATAACTTTTTATTTTCAGGATTCCACGCTGCATACTGTGAAAAAAACACAAATAATTATTGTATTATGAAAAAAAAACAAAATGATAAGATATACCGTCAAAATAAACACATCAACAAAATCTAAGATTCAGTTCATAAATCAAAACTCTTTGTATTAAACTTTTTGTGTCGCTATTTGCCTCGAAAAGAAATGTTGTATGCCGTGGGTGTGTTCGAAACTAGAGGTTTACAGCGAATTACTGCAGACGTTCATCCCAATCTATTATCTATTATCCGACGATCATGAGGACGTGATGAGATCACCAGAAATTAGGCGGAAAGGAATCCAGGAAGAGATATCCTCCACGTTATGCATAAATACGACCATTTAAAGAATTTAACAATATTTTAAAAAGCAAGTTTTAATAAGAGTTTAATACAGCGTAATATGCACCATTATTGTATAAAACTTTATCAAACACATTCAAGTTCTCTTGACCTTTTCGTTTCATAAATTATCTATTTATTCTCATGCAATATGGTGTATCTAATATTTGGTATTATTATGTACATATTTCAAAGCATTACTTTGTCGCTATAAATCTCGTGCTTAAACAAATGTCTCTCTTAGCTTACTTACCGTGGAAATATTTCTATACAAGACTTTTCCATTATCTTCAAAAGGTTCATATTTTTGTAATAAAGTTTTGCCATCCACTCTCCAAATTGCCGGCCACATTTCATTCAGTTCCGTTTTAATCGCCACAAATTCTCCAGACTATATAAATAAATCGTTAATAGTGTATAATTAAAAATTACGTGATTGGCTTCCATTTTAAACAAATATAGAAACGAATCGCAATATGGATGCTTTAGGGAATATATTTTATGTTTATAATAGTAATGGTGCTATCAGTTGAGATTGAGAGAGAATTCGCGCTTCTCATTGTCTCAGAAGAAATATAAACCTTACGTACTTGTGATAAAGGTTAAACGAGCAGTTCCGCTTAAATTATAAAGAATTCGACGCCCCATTACGCTTACATCCTTGTTTAAAGTTGAATGTAAGTAATTACTTCAATATATTACTATTTACTAATAACTTAAGCAAATATTTTTATCCACTAGACGAAAATTTAATGAAATAAGAACTCTTTAAATTTAGTTCTTACCGTTCTTACTCCATTCAAATTCACATCTTTTGGTTAAAAATATTTACTTGAATTATGACTTTTACTCAAGTAATTATAGTCGACTATAGATATGGTTAGACTTTGCGCTAGCATAAATTTAACTTTTAGGTTCAGAAATGTACCTACCATACATGACACGAAAGTTAAAACTGCGCAAAAACTAAAATATGTCAAAGAATTAAAACTACTTCAAAAAGAGCAAAGTTATAAGGCGGGTAATATGCTCTAGAAAGTTCTATTTAACTCTTAATAATAATAACCTACACAAATCTACCACTGTTAGTATTTAGTGCCGGGTACTGTATACCATTATATAAAGGTACCTTAGATATATAGGTACTGTTGCAGATAATTATTACGAGTGGGTACTGTAGTAGTTGCTGAAATATAACTCAATAGATGTGATAATACGAGCACTTTCAAGAAAGTCACAGGAACTCGTAATATGCAAATTTAAAAAGTACATAATAGATTTAAAATGAGAATACCTGATAAGGCATTTCTTCTATAGGTCTAGTGTTTTCTATTTGTCCTGTGTTAGTGATTTGTTGATGAGATTTTAGATGTTGTAATTTTCTGCTTCCATTATTTTCGTTGTCTGCCGTTCCATAGATGCCATAGCCCAAATTAGTGCTGTGAGCAGTAGCTACAATATTTTGATCACGATTAAAATGAGCAAAGGAAAATTTATACCAGGAATTAAAACAAAAAACAGTTACCTGAAAGTGTTTTTGGAGATCAGATCTCTAGAACAAAATATAGGTAAGGAAGGGTGGGAATGGGATGCCAAATGACGAGTTATTCATCACTGTGATAACATGTACACAAACCTTTGCATTATCATTTTAAAGACCTGAATTGTAATGGGCAAATTTCAAGTATTACAATATAGTTCGTACAGTAGGTATTTATTGTACATGTTATCCCTACTTTGGCGAAGTGAGGGGTGCTACCAGGAATAATTACAAATTAAAATTATGTAACACATCATCAGTAATATACTTGTGTTTATTTTATGTCTCCTCCTATTATACAAAAGTATTTACATAAAATATTGAGAATTGTGCATAAACAAATAACAATTAAATAGAAATACAAAAAAAAGTATATGTTCAGGGCATGGCCATCTAATACATTATTTGCACTTACTTGTAGCTGTCAGTTATTATGCAATTAATTTTCTCCTTATAATATAAAATCACTTTCAGCTAATGAATATGCAATACACTATAGTAAGTACCTCCTAAACTCAAATACTGTAAAATACAATACATTTATATACAACAGACACCCACTGGTATTAATTCCATAAAAAAATATACCACAATTTTGGAATTATTAATGGTAGCACCCCTTCAATAGCGAGTATGACAAGAGTCACAATTACTACAATTTACAATAAAATGGCACTAATAATGTGTCATTATTAACAACAAAGTGAGTGAAATCTTGTTACAGGCTAACCCTAAAATATCAACCTCTAATAAGATAGGTACATCACATTTTCCTCATAGAAATTAATTATTTACAAATTCATAATCATAGATTTCATCTAATAAAAAATTTACATTATCACAGTTAAAATGTAACAAGTTTTCACGGTATTCTGCCTGAGCGGCAGTTAGCTTGCTCCTGTCATACAAGCTTCAGGGCTAGCTCTTCACCATCGCGCTCTACTTCTTAAGTGGAAATCTAGTAAATTGAACGCACCTTCGTCAGGCTGATGTTGATAATAATATTGTTGTTGTGGCGCTGCCTGCAGCGAGGCCACGGGCGGCGGCACAGGCGGTCGTGGCTTCTTAGGCGCGGCCGGCTGAGGCGCCACTACGGCTGAAGGCGTGGGCTTATTCATTGTTGTTCGCGTTTTCTTTCCTTTGTCATTTAGTGGGGTACTAGGCACATTCAACACTGGTTTATTCAACCTTCTCGCTTCCTCTTCTGCATCATACGCGGTCTCTTCGCTACCATCAAACTTACGTTTTCTATCCTTATTTAAATTATAGTAGCGAGGATCATCTAATTCTACGCCCTTCGCCTGAGAACTGAGCAGGTTTGATGAAGCCCCATGAATTTGATTTGCACCCAACAATCCAGCAGAGCTCATGTTAACTGAAGCACTCATAGCCGGATTATTTAATGGCATTCCAGAGTTAATTGGCGATGCCATTGCCCCATTCGAACTTTGTTGAGTGGGATTCCCGTCACATTGACTTTTAGAGTGATCATTTTGTGGGTAAACTTTGTTATTTGTAGTGTTATTTGTGTTAGTTCGCGACCAAGTAGATTTTCTGGCGCCTCTACCGGCCGGCGGAGGAGAGGTATCACGCTCTCCTTGAAGAAATTTCAAATAAGAAGCCATGAAACCTGAACCGGGGCCCGTGACAGGAACATTGAATTTTTTTTCCATTATTTTTGAAGTAGCGTCTTGTGAAGTGCTGTTAATGTTCTGCTGCTGTGAAGTAGGTGCTACCGAAGATGCCGTATTTGCTCGTTGTTCTGCAAGGAAACCAAGTTCTTCCTCTATATTAGGCACTACCACCTTAGGCTGTTCCTCTTCACGAGTTTCAGGCGTAGAAAATGATGATGAGGAAGCCGAAGGTGGAGTTTCACTAAACGACGATAATGGTGTTAACTCCACAGAAGATTGGAAGTCAGGATGAGGACCAAGGTGAAAAGGTGGAAAATATGTAAGAGCATGCCCATGTGGCATAGCTAAGGCTTGGTGCTGATTTGCAAAGTTTGTTGCATGTAATGGTGCCTGAGAACCAAATGCAGATGTGCCAGGAAACATTTTTGGGGGAGGCGGTGGAAGGTTCCATCTTTCAAAATCAAAATAACTACCGTTTTGTTGATTAGTTGTAGAACTATGAGCAGGTGGAGGTATTCGACTAGCAAGATAGTCTGCCATTACAACATTTGATATTTCATTCATATTAGTATGAGTAATAGGTTTTTCAGTGCTTTTCCTACGTACTACAGTTTTACTGGATGATGTAGTTGTTGGTGTTTGACTTTTAGATGACTTAGCATCTTGTAATTGACAACTTTGCTGTAAGCTTTGTAAATTTTTTACTATAGTCATAGGATCTCCACGACAGCTTGATAAATCTTGTAAGGCTACATTATTGCCATCAAAATAATTATGATGTTTATCAGGCAAAGTCAGTCTATGAGTAGCTGATTGAGTTTGAGTAGATGGTTCATCAGCTTGAGTATTATTTTCAGTCAAACCACTACTAGGAAAACTACTGCTAGTACTATTTCCAGTAAATTTTCTAGAAGACTGACGTTCACTTTCCCAACAACTTGGGCTAGAAGATTGATTTTGATTACGATCATATCTATTTTCTGAATAAGTTTTACTTTGTTCAATACCTAAAGCCCTAGTTATAACAGAAGGATAAGCCACCTGACTATTTTGTGAAGGAGGTCTTGTAACTGATGCATCTAATGGAGAACGAGGGGCAGCACTATTATGCTTATTATAATGATCAGCATGTTGTTGAGGAGAGTTCAATGAATTCATTGGACTGTGATACATTGGATATGCTGGACTAGACCCATGGCCAAGTGGGGAATTCTGTGAAGGTACTTGTGAAGGACTATTTCTCCTAGCAACCACTACACCACAGTCAGGACCATTTTGGGAACTGCTGCTTGAATATCCTGTATCAGTACTAGAGCTACTTTTAGCTCTTACATGATAATCTGATTCAACATTATTCCCACTTTGGTAATGTCTAAAACTTGACCCCTGTGTTGTAAACTGAGAACTACCAATTCTATTTGATTTAGAAGAACTGTTACTATTACTACTGTAACTTAATCTGCCTGGTGCATCCATAATAGAATAGCTTATTGGAGATGACTGAGGTTGAAGTTTAGAGTCATTTGAATCACAACTCTTTCTTTGTTCATTATTCACCTCTGGGTATATTTTGCTTTGTGCTTTAGTTTGAACTTGAGGTGGTTTAGATGTGGGAGAAACAAAACTACTACTAGCGCTGTTACTTGTTTGCCGCGATGACTTGTCGCTACTAGTATTTTTGGGAATTTGGGAATTATATATAGAAGCTGAAGGTCTTGAGGAGATACTGGAGGAAGATCGATATTCTTTACTAGGAGGTGTAGAGGATGATGTTACAGGTGGAGTTGACACAATACACGATTGCTGGGATTGAGCAGTTGTGCTTGCAGAACTTGAATATGACTTACTTCCAGCATAATCCTGCTGTGTTGAAAGTTGACCACTTTTTGCACTGCTTGTACTATATGAATTATCAGTCTGATTTCCAAAAGATGAAGGAGATTGAAAAAATGTAGATGAGGAAGATGAAGACACAGGCTGCTTCGATGCTGTTGCTGGTGATCCAGACCTATTTGTTTGTTTACCAGCGGAAGAGATTTGAGAGTTGAGATGATTATTTAAAGTTTGCGCTGCAGCAAAATTGAAATTTTCATAAGGTCCTGAAGCTTTTGTTGTTGCCGGACTTGGTGATGATGGCACAACACTTTCATGGGGTAATATCCCAAATGGACTCGGAAGTTGATTGTTTCCTTGCCAACTTAATCCAGCTGTACCACCAGGAGTAGAAGGCTGATCAAAAAAGGATGATCCTTGTGCAGCCAGAGTTTGATGAGAATAGTTTTCTCTCAATGAGGATAACTCAGATTCAACTGAAGATTGTTTAGATGCTGCTGCAGCTTGGGCTATAACTTGTCGATGTTGAGCTTGAAGTGAAGAACTGTAATGTGCTGGCTTTGGATTGGCATGATGGAATAATGGTGAAAATACAGCATCATAGCCCACAGTTGGTGGTGACAAAAAACCTCCAGGATTGAAAGGAGATGCAGTTGATGAACCAAGTTGCCCAGCTAAAGAGGCTGTTGTATGAGCTGCTTGCAATAGCAATTGGCTTGTTGTTGAAGGAACTGTTTGGCTGCCTAATCCCGAGCCACTGCTTGCAAGATGGTGATGAAAGTCTCCACTTGCAGCACCAGCTTGGACTCCTGCTAACCGATTGTAAGAAGCATATGCTGACCATGGTCCTACTGGATCCATTACCACCTCCGTGATGTTATATTTTGTATCAATGTGTATGTCGTATGTCAATAAATGTCCACACATTCATCCATAGTTTATACACTTCAAAGGCGCAGTATTACCACTCAATTTGCACTTTTATTCATTTCCTCTTGGTTATTATATTTTCGTAAACAGAATATTCCCCTGAAAATAAAAAACAATGCTTATATTGAATAGTCCAATAGGCACTGAAAATCATAAACTACTGTCTAGCAATCGGTGTTAAAGATAACAAACCATATAAAAAGTTGTTAGTTACTTAAGAAATAACATCATGAAAAATGAAAAAGGTACTTGTATAGGAATACCGCCGCTACGCCATGGAAGCGTCAATAAGCATGGAACAATACAGTCAATTTGGGCAAACAGAAATTTCATCCTATCCTATACATACATAAATACGTACCATCGCCTTTATTATTAACAAATATTTATCAGTATGATTTCGCAGGACGCTCACACAACAGATAACATCATAAATATGGCCTCGATGAGCTCCTCGAGTGCTGGGTACGACGGGTTTTGTCTATTGTGAAATGAAACCTCACTTGATTTATATGTTATCAACAATAGTTCACTACGTAAGTCACAATTAGATAATTATATTGCTATGTTTCTGTAAGGGCAATGAAGAATATGAGTACCGATTACTTTATTTACAAGTACAAATACGACAACGTTTCGCCTTTCACATTAATCGCCGCCATCTTACTTGTCGAAAACTGTCGGTCGAACAACTGCACACAACAAGCGATACAGCGCCATCTACTTTACAATTTCTAAAAAAAAATATTAACAAAAATCGATTACCAGAAAATAATAATTATAAAAATGATTTCATAAATTTAATTTGATTTTATTTGATAAATTTAAGTGAAACTGACATAATTTTCAGACATATATGAAGATTCGTTGTATCAGATGTATAATTTGAAGTAAACCACCATTCGATATTTTGAATATTTATTTATATATACCTACTTCTTTTTATAATTTTCGAGAAATAGTATGTGTACTAAAAATGAACGGAAAATCATTTGTGAATTTAACGCAAAACTATTACTACCGAATAGTATATATGCATTAGATCCCTTTGCGCGCTTTAGATAACATTAACAAATTATCTATAAAATAATATTTTTATAGTCAAAGGAATTTAGACCATACAGTCTAATGAAAAGTAAACTTATCCAGTTTTTGCCAAAAAAATTGATGCTCAGCCTTTACGTTCGATGTTCAAGAAGGCAGGCTCAATCTTATAACAATAGGGATTCCATGAGGGCTTCCCTAGATATATACTTTGCTGTTTGAATAAAACTTGATGATGTATGATGAGTGATGACAAATCCAAGAGTTGTCTGTATTGTGCAGACGAAAATCACAAAGATTTAAGATACAGAATACACTTAAACAATCTCATTTAAAAAAAATAAGCGTTATAAATAGCGATTTCATTATATATAAGTATTATAAATAAGCTCTTAATCTATCTATTTAGAGCTTACCTTCGTCATGAAAATATGTACTAAAATTACAATTTCTTTTCATTTATTCAATTATTTATTAAATAATTTCAAAGCACTTCTTCTATCTCTATAGTTTGACTTAAAAGCAGTAAATTGGTTTTACCACTTTTTTACGAAATATTAATACCAGTGAGGAAATATTAAAAAAAAAACTAGTTCTTGAAATCATACTAGATGACACTAACGATCTTTGGATATTGTCTACGATATTCATTCAAATTTTGATTCTGACGTAATAAAATCAAATGAGGAAGTTAAAACAACTTTAAGGTATTACAGAGATAGACTAATCGGTGGCGCCATTCGTAAACAAATTTAGTGCCATGTAAGCGGAGAATTAATATGCTAAATGAACTTTACGAGATCAGTTGACTGTATGTATATATAGGCATAATTTTATACGCGTGGATGTAGTTTCTTTGAGCAGAAATATTTTTCCCTAAGAATACTTATTTTTTTTAAATTTATTTATGACACAAACATTCATTTCAAATTTTATGAAATGCGAAAAAGACATCGAGTGTCACTTAATTACTTCTGTTAATCTTTTCTTTATTCTTTATTATTACTTCTGTCATCAAATATTTATCTATACTTATCTATTGTCTAAAAAAATTTTGATAATGACAAATTTCCAGGCAAACTTTCATCCCCTATTTTTCGCGATCAAATGTAGCCTATGTCCTTTCTTAAGGTTAAGTCTGTTTACTGTATTAATTTCCATTAAGGATGGGTTCAGTTGTGTAGGCGTCTAAGCGTAACAACACTTATTTATCTTACCTTAAGTTATCGATACTTTTAAGTACGATTCTGAAATCTAGCTTAGTATCGATACTAGAACCATACGCAGATAAAATTAGAACTATACCGAGTTTACCAAAGCATATGCAGTGATATTTACCAACTATGTATATTAAATCATCACATAAAATATCAGCATTTTATAATCTACAATACATATCGATTATAAGTTTATTGGAAATTAACAATATCGCCGAAATAAATATCGATTATACACACATCGATTATTTTTTCCCAAGCCTATTCTTTTTGAATTTTCCGGATCGCGGACACAGCAGTGCACAAGCGTAAACACGTTTTCATTTCCGCCATCACGGACCTGAAAAAACCGGTCCGGAATAGAGAAAAGTAAAATCCCGGTCGGTAAAATTCCTGACAGTCGGTGGCGCCGGCGCGAACGTGCGCGGCGCAGTGTCATTATGCGATTGGATCCTATTACCATATCGCATGCGCGAGTTATAATTGTTATAATTAATGTTTCTATCGCGAAACACGTTATTATTTCTAGAGAAAGGTCTCGAAACCTTTCTGGAGTTATGTCGAAAATACATGACCTGCTCGTTACTACTTGAGAGTGTTTGCTCATCCAAAGCAGTACGTATCGCTTCAGGGAGAGAATCAAATTCTTTTGATGCAATAATGATACTCAGTCTGGAGTTTGCTAACCCATCTGCAAATCGTTTTATAGCTACCTTTTCATTTATCGATCTTAACACATTGTATTTGGAGCTATCTCCGTCTGCCTGTGCTAAAGTTAAATTGGAGAAAAGATCTTCTAATTCGTTACCAAACGCCTCTATTGACCTATGTCCCTGTTTCACATTCTGTAAACGTGATTGAAGAGCTACTGCAGATTTTTTTTGTAGTAGATATTTTCTCATGTCACTAAGCAACGCGTCTACAGTAGTATATGTATCGCGTAAGCGAAGCTTTGCACTGGACGACAATCTTGTTTTTAGGACGAAATCAATTAACGAAATTTTTGATCCGTCATTAAGCTTAGAATTATACATATCTATACCGTCAATTAGTTGTTTGGTGACATGTTCCTGACCAGTCATTATCGGGAGTAAACTAATAGCGGTCTTAAAGTCGAAAGAAATTGTTTCTGCCATTTTCTCTGTGTAAGAACTATCGAAATTTCTACTAGAAAAAATTACTAATTTATTTATTTCACTAAAAATTATATGTATATTATTCACTATCGAATTTACTTTAATAAGATCTTCGGTACTTATCTCAGAATTGTCAATATTAGACTTAATATCAGACAAAATATACTCGAGCTGTAAATAAATTACATTAGCTTCTTTTAACTTCGTTTGACCGATTTCTTTCTTTCTTCGTTCAGGGCCTATTTTAGTTAAATATAATTTTATTTCTTGTAACTTACTATATAATTCGATTAGCTTATGAGACATTACTATTTATCATAATAAATATAATCCACTTAATTTTTTCTACCTAATTAAAAAAACATAATTATAAAAATATGTATAAAAACACCTACTTGTATTTGCTCAATTTACGTGAAACGTGTGGTACAGTAGGGCGGTCGCGACGGCTACATCAGCGCGATCGGCGGACAGGATGCGTCGCGGTCACGTTTCCATCGATTGCTGGCACGTGGCTGTTTCCGGAGCTGTTGCGCTGAGGCTCTGCAGTCTTCCTGAAGTTTGACGCGTGCCGGGATAACCCTGGACACCTCGAGCTGGGCCGGGATAACCCTGGACTCCTCTTGATGTGGGCCGGGATAACCCTGGACACCTCTTCTTGTCTTCTTAATTAGCTTGTGAAGGTTTCGGTTGCATTTCTAGAGTATTGTGGTGAAGTTCCCTTCTCAAAGCTCTTACAGCATTCTGTCTGCACTTCTTGTATATGAAGTAAGCGGTGGCAGCGAATAATATGACAAATAACGAGATGAGTAATATTTCGGTTAGGTTGAGTTTGTTTTCGGCTACTTGAGCGTTTCCACCTGCATTCTGGGCGATGATAATTTCTTCTTTCGATTGAGAGCTGCGACACATTGTTCTAGGTTGATGTTTTATTCTAATAATGAAGGTTGGAAAGATGAACCACATATAGGAGCACTGCCAAAAATATGATAATAACTGCTGCGACTGCTATCAGGATATTCTTCATTTTTTTTTTTATTTTTAAGATTTTCGATAATTTGTCTTCGAGTTCTTCTAGATAGTTTTCTAATGAAAATCTTCTATCTTCAAATTTTTCTTCTTACTAAGTTCCAGTTGTTTGCAGGGTCGCCATGAGGTATCTTGCTTGCTAATTATAGGTGAAATCCAAACACATTGTTAGGTTGACGTTGGTTTATTAAAAGAGAGCCAATTACAAATCAATTTCCATATTTATATAGTCATCAACATTATACTAATACACGCACACATATACTTAACACAATTACACCTAAATTATAATTATTAAATGTCAGCATTTGATGTGACCCACTTTTAGTTTCACTGTGTAAAATAAAAAGTTTAATTTGTTATTTAATTATTTTCATACTTATATATGGCCTGACATATCGGACCTGAAAAAATCGGACCGCCGGACATGAAAATTCAGTGTAGTGCACAAGCGCCCTAACGGATTCCTTATAGGGATTACAGAACCCTAAAAAAGACTAAGTAAACATAATAATCATTATTTAAATACGAAATCAACCCAAAAAAGACGAAGTAAACCTAATTATCATTTTATTATTAAATACCTAATCAACGATAACCCATTTGTCACGGTTGGTCGGTTTGTTTTTCATTTTGACAATAAGTATGGCGTCTGATAGTTGCTATGGTGAATTTAGATTTCTATTATGTGTTTAGTGACACTCGCAAGGTAAAGACAAATCGATTGACTTATAAATAATCTAAACTGACCGAGTCGTTTGATCTCTACAATGCCATATAGGAAAAAAACATACTTACATACATAGACACATAAACACATTACTACTCTTCTTTGCATTGTGCAGTCGGGTAAAAAATCACAAGTCTAGATACCCAAGATGGGATTTGAATCCATAGCCTTTTGCAACTCGTGTGACTCTTCCGATTGCTAGTACACAGCAATAAGAATGCAAAAATAAATCAAAATAATAACGTGGTTGTCAAACCAAAATGCACATGCATTTTCGAGATTTTATACTATTTACTAATGGTAAAAAAGGGTTAAAACGTGAAGTACAAAATAACATTTATGAGCCCGGTACGATTTAAAACCACTCTCCAAATTTTAGTATGTTAATCTTTACGACAAATAATGAAATACGTGTTTTTTCTTTTTATGTCGTTTAGAACAAAAATGTTGAGTTATATCGTCACCAAGTTATTTTCAAAAAACATACATTTGTGGACGCTCCCGCTGCCCAGTACGTGCGCTTTACGCGCTACGTTAGTT